CTATCTATCTATCTATCTATCTATCTATCTATCTATCTATCTATCTATCTATCTATCTATCTATCTATCTTGGGAGCAGTACACAAGACCCCCTCTAAGCAGGAAGGTCTTTTGAGAAGCTCTTTTCCTTTTTTAGAGATTTTCATCTAGTTTGGCATTTGAGACCTACAGTTTTTACAGTGTTTTGTCTTTAGTCTTCAGAAACCTAGATGTGCATTCAAGCTCCCCAAATAAAGGAAGCCCCAGGAGAGCCCAGCTGCAAGAAAGAGCACTGTAAACATGCTTTGAAAGCACTATTGGTTTAAATGCTGTTCAAATTACCTCGTGCTCTGAAAACTATAGCTCAGGTATTAGATGTTGTGCAATGCAAGGAGAGGAATCCATTGCCCAAATCAAAGCAAGCACTCCAGCATCTGAGTTGACAGCTAATCTTGTCTTTTCCTCCTCCAGCGCTGCCACTGGCCATGGCAAACCAAGACCATCAGCCCCACAACTGCTCCCTGGGGGAAACCTTGAACTTTCTCTACCTGAATAATCTGAATGTCAACTGCCACCCTCTGCCAAAGAGCTCCACAAACCTAGAAGGCAACAGGCAAGGAAGTTTTGAAGAAAGCCAGAGCCACAGACGGGACCTCCCCAAAAGCCTCAGTGGTTCTGTTTGCCAAACCCAGGAGACGGGGACCACCACTGGGAGAGTTCTTGGCAGCTTCTCCCCACAAGACCATGTGCCACGTTCCATCAGAAACAGCAGCCGCTTCTTTAGTGTTGACCAGTCCCCAACATCAGAAGAAGGGATGATGTATCCTAGAACATACCTCCAGGGAGGTCCTGTTGAGAAGTTAACTCCAGCCTCTGGGGCCAACCTCCAATATCAATGGACAATGGAGGGTCCGGGAGTTGCAGTCCGGAGGAGCCTCTCTGATCTCACCTGTAGCTGCAAGCAACCGAGTCCCACCTTTCACATGGAGTCTAGTGCCACATCCCCAGCGGTATGTTCACACAGTAGTAACTTTGCTTTGGTGAACAGACTGATGATTGAAGGATTGAGATATGGAGCGGACCCTCGTGAAAACAGCCCAGATTTGCAAAGCCATAGGATGCAGAGTTCATGTTTGTCAAGAGACCACAACATTGTACCTGCTAATGTCTTTCACCAAGATGCTTCATCACACAATGTTGCTATTTTTACAGACTCCGAAGCATATCACACAAATGTCCTTGCTTCAAGTCTTGCTACTGTCTCCAATCGGTCAATGCTTGCCCACAGCAGAATAGGACACAGCAGCTTTTCAACTGGCACTTGCCCACCTGGAATGGTGACCATTCCTAATGGCATTCCTCTGCCCTGCAGCAGAAGCCACATGTCTTCTGCAAAGGAAGAAGGCACCATTCCTGCCTACTGCCATTCCTTACCAATACCTTCTCTCCAGTTTACCCCTAGGCCAGTATGCCCAGTTAATGAACTGGGCGAAGAACAAGGCAACCCTGAGGGTTGTTCATCTTTGCTTGCTACTGAAGTCTCCTCTGTGAATGGGTCAAGTCTGGAAGCCAACCGCATCCTGGGATGCTGTGGGGCCCATGGGGAGCGGGTGCTGCCTCCTCAGTCTTATGGACGACCCAGCAAGGGTCAGGAGGAAATGAAGACCGTGTATGTGGTATGGAACAGCCAACAAGAGGGGGTTCAGACGGTCATGAAGACCAAAGACATGTGGACCATGACCTCTAGGAATGATCTCACCCAGGGATTCCAGTCTCCGCTGGACTACAGAGATGCCGAAGTGCAAACTTTCGCAGGAAAGGAATGCAAGTCCGTGGCAACCAGCCCATCTGTTCTGGCAGAAGGCCAGCCTCATGTCTTCCCAGAGGTGAACCTGAAGCCAGAGGCTGAGGGTGAGAAGTCTCCCGTGCGAGATGTCAGGTGGGACGATGAAGGCATGACCTGGGAAGTCTATGGGGCAGCGGTTGATCCCGAGGAGCTTGGGCTGGCCATCCAGAAGCACCTGGAGATCCAGATAGAACAATTCCAAACGGAACCTGAGGAGCTCTGCACAAGGGCCTCTGAGAAACAGCCCGCCAAAGAGGAGAAGCGAATCTCCTTTGGCATGGTGATGCACTGTCTGCGAAACCCAGCCTGCTGTGCACGGTCCAACATGGCGGTGGAGTGAAGTCCACCTAAAGACCATTCTTCCCAAACTGCCAACGAATATTGATTCTTCAAGTGGATCAAGGGCACCCCAAAAGTGAAGCTTTGGGGAGGCCACTTGATGCCCTGGGACTTTCACAACCCTGCTTGTACAGGACAGGCCTCCAAAGAAAGAGGGGGATGGAACCATCGCCACTTCCTTCTCTGCAGGCTCTCTTGAAGCAAACCCACACCTACCCTATCTGTTCCTTCTCTCCTCTCTAAGGAAGTGGGGACAGGTGCAATGGGGCCTGCTGTTGGTCAGCCTCATCATGCTCTCTAAAGACCCTGAATGGGCTGGTATACTTCCTGCAACATTGGCAGGGAAGGGAAGGCCACATGACCATCCTTCTTGGCTTCTCCTATCTCAGTTGCCCACTGTTTCTCCTGTGCAGCACAGCATGTCCTCTTGCAGCAGAGCTGGCCATCACAGGAATCTCCTCCACCCATCAAAGATGCTTTCTCAAAGGACAGCCTAGGAGCCCTAGGAACCACAGAGGAAGCAAACTCTTCATTTCACCCTGCAGAGAGGACAAAAATGTGGCATGATCTTGGTGCATTTGATGGGGAAGAGCATTCCACATGCACTCTTTCCTCAGCTTAGTAAGGATTTCTGCTCCTACCACGTATTGGGGTAGTTTCCTTCATTTTTGGTTTTTTTGAAGGACTGAAACACCCTTCTTCCATCTGGATTAGTAGTCTGAGTCTTCACATACTTCTTATTGTGTCTGTTGTATGTCAGTGTGAACTTGGGTTCTAAATGTGATAATACAGCAAACAAACCCCTGTTTTTGCCTCCAGCAGCAGACCAGAAAGTTAAAAATTCATGAAGAATATTGTTGCCTTCTCTTTTTCTACCTGCACCTGGTCATCTTGATTAGCTCAAAAAAGTAGGAATATGACATTATTCCTCCTTCTCTGAAGCAAAAACTGTGTAATTTCCTTTTGTGTTTTATCTTTGGGGAAAACTGAACCGAAGACCTCTTTTATTAATTAAGCGAATGACTGATAACTGCTTGAGTGTATCACAAGAATCCTCTCTATGGTTATTAGAATCGGCTCCTCCTGTTAATGTGTGCATATTTCTACATTGATTGTGGCCTAGATTTTGTTCTGTCACAATGATATTTGTATCACTGAAATACTAGAGTGAATGCCATTTTATACTTTTCATACCAATACAAATAGCATGTAAACAATGTATTAAATAGGCAGAAGAACACTTCTTACAGACTAAGAGCCGAGGTGGCGCAGTGGTTAAATGCAGCACTGCAGGCTACTTCAGCTGACTGCAG